AGCCAGTCTACGGTCTCCGCCAGGCGCCTCTCGAGTGGCACGACACAGTGAGGACTACACTTGCAGCTCTTGGGTTTGCTCCTTCTACTGCGGACCCGTCGCTGTTTCTACGCACCGACACGTCCCTGCCGCCGTTCTACGTCCTCGTGTACTTCGACGACCTCGTCTTTGCCACTGCTGACACTAAGGCACTGACCCTTGTGAAGTCCAAGGTGCAAAAGAGACACACCTGCACTGACCTGGGTGAACTGCGCAGCTATCTTGGCCTGCAGATCACCCGGGACAGAGCACGGCGCACCATCACACTGACTCTGTCACACATGGTGCACCAGGTCCTTCAGCGCTTTGGCTTCCAGTTCTCATTGCCACAGCCCACTCCTCTGTCTACCAGCCATTCGCTCTCAGCTCCACCTTCGGACGAGTCCGTAGAGCCGAGTGGTCCGTACCCAGAGCTTGTGGGTTGCCTCATGTACCTGATGACTTGCACACGACCTGACCTCGCGTACCTTCTCAGCCTCCTGGCTCGCTACGTGGCTCCCGGTAGGCACCAAAAGGTGCACTGGGATGCTGCGAAGAGGGTACTGCATTACTTTTACAGTACGTTGGGCATGGGGCTTGTGCTTGGAGGATGGGGTCCAGTTGTTCTCATTGGTCACGCAGACGCCTCCTGGGTTGATGACTCAGCTACGCAACCTTTAGCCTTGGTTCCGGCTCTGTTTCTTGGCGGTCAACCCGCTCGTCTTGGCTCTCAGCTCCAGTTGTGAGGCTGAGATCTACGCCGGGGCCATGGCTGCTCAGGAGCTACGCTGGCTCACCTACCTGCTGACTGACTTTGGAAAGCAGCCTCGTTCGCCTCCAGTCCCGTACGTAGACAACAAGGCAATGATTGCCTTGTGTCAGGAGCACAGACTTTAGCACAGAATGAAGCACATTGCTCTACGATACTTCCTTGCTCGAGAGTTGCAGCAGCGTGGCCAGCTTCGTCTTGCGTACGTGGCCACTCGGGCCAACACTGCTGATGTCTTCACCAAGGCACTTCCGCCTGGTGATCATCAGCGTTTTGCTACTGTGTTAGGCCTTGTGCCCACTTTGCCTCACTTGCTCACTGCTTGACCTTGTTTGTACTGTGATCTCAATATATACCTGCATGCTTGCACTTGCTAGGGTATGATCACTGTATTGTTTTTCCCTTTATAGAACTCTGCATGTGATCTGGCCTTGTGGCCCTTTCCTTGTGCTCGGACTGTGTGGTGACTTTGTGATCCACCCTGAGCTTGCTTTGTTTTTCTTGACTGGTCTTGTGACCACTTGTTCTCCCCCACTTTGCCTATGGGGGTGTGTCAGAACATTATAGCTTATACATTTGTGTAGGCTGTAGTGGGGTAGCCCATAAGGGGTACAACCCAACTAGGGTTAGTACTTGTACCCAACTCTTTGCTAGTTCATTCATTCTTGTTCGTAACTTTGACACCTGTCACTCTGGCCGAATCCTCCGGCGGACCGGTTGTTGCACATGGCTCCAATGTTCTCCTGTATCCGGCAACCCCCTCTGGCTCTCTCACAGGTCTCCACCTCCCCTCGTTTGCAACGAACTTGGTGAGTACAGCTGTCTTCCAGAATCAGTTAGTCACTACCACTACTACTAGGGACGAGGTCGTGGCGATCTGTACGGACTAAGTGACTGGTGATCACCTGGGTCTGGCCTGTACACACTGCACACTGAGTCTGCTCTGGTGGCTGAGTCTTGCTCATGTCAGGTACTCACCCACCCCTCCCTCCTCTGGCACCATTGTCTTGCTCACCCCTCCCTGCCGCACCTCCACAGCATGCACTCGCGTCTCCTGGTCTCAGGTCTCCCGCGTTCCCTTCCCCTGCTCCCCTGGTCGCTTGCGGCGACGTGCTTGCCTTGCAACGAGGGGCGGCAGCGCGCTGCTCCTCACTCCTCCTAGTTTCCTCCGACCACTGCTCCTCTGCAGACGCTGCACATGGATGTGTTGTTCCCTGCCCCCGTCCCTGGGCGGGGCCAAGAGCGCTACTTCCTGCTGGTCGTTGACGACTTCTCGCGCTACACCACGGTGTTTCCCTTGTAGCATAAGGGCGACGTCCGTAGTGTTTTGATCCCTTGGATCCGCGTTGTTTGTTGTCAGCTGAGCTCACGGTTCTGACAGTACCTCCATGTGCTTCGTCTGCACTTTGACCGTGGCGGTGAGTTTTCCTCCCGTCTTCTTGAGGACTTTTGTCATGAGAAGAGCATCACCCAGTCGTTCGCGCATCCGGCCTTTCAACATCAGAATGGGATTTCTGAGCACCGCATTGGCTTGATCATGGAGGTTGCTCGCACCTCCATGATCCATGTGGCTGCTCCCCATTTACAGTGGCCGTTTGCGGTCCAATACACCCCGTGTCTCCCAGCCTACCCTACTGTAGTGCCGGAGACCTTTCCTACCCTACTCTGGACCAGGGAGGTTGGTGATGCTTCGGCGTTTCGGGTCTGGGGTTCTCTTGCCCTTGTCCCCGATCCTCGCGCAGACAAGCTCTCTCCTCGCACTCTTCGCTTCGTCTTCCTTGGCTTTCCCACCAATGCCACGCCTTGGCAGTTTTACCACCCAACCACGCGTCGTTTCCTGTCCTCTCGCGATGTCATCTTGACGAGACTGTCTGCTTCTACTGACTCTTCTCCGACCGCAGTTCTCCGGTGCCCCCCCTGCCTCTCTTCCTGGTTCCAGGTTACCCTCCGATAGACCTTTCCCTCCCTTCGCGTCTTGCTCCCTGTGGTTTGTCTCAGGTCGCACCACCCCCCTTGGTTGAGCCTTTGGAGGTCTCTTCGGGCCCCTCTGGCCCGGCTGAGAGGGGTGACACTGTTGTTGATGACATGACGGCCTCTCACCGTTCCCCACGCCTTGAGGCTTCTCCTGGTTTCCTGCCTCTGCCATCTTCGCCGCCTCTGCAGCCTGAAGTCGTGGACTTGGGTGCTGTTGGGGGTGGTGACACTAGAGGTGCTGGTACTGGGGATGCTACTACTAGGGGTGCTGGTTCTGGGGGTGCTACTTTTGGGGGTGTTGACGATGCAGCTGGAGGCACTAGAGGTTCTGGAGCTACAGGCACTGGAGTTGGAGGTACTGGAGCTGGCGGTACTAGAGGTTCTGGTTCTGGGGGCACTGCCGCTGGAGGTGCTGGAGGTTCTGGTGCTGGAGGTACTGGAGCTGGAGGTGCTGGAGTTGGCGGAGCTGTAGGTTCTGGAGATGGAGGTACTGGAGCTGATGGTACCAGAGGTACTGGAGCTGATGGTACCAGAGGTACTGGAGCTGGAGGTGCTGTGCAGCCGTGGCAACAGCGACCGTTCTTTGTGGACCAGCCGCGGTTGTCACTACCACCACCTGGCTCGGCGCTTCGCCAGGTTCTCAACCTTCGACTTCCACTGGTATTACTCGTCTACTGTGTCCACCAACTGACCCATCCCAGACACAATTACAGCCTGACTCCCCATCGCCTGCTCCTTCTCCTGACACTAAGACGACAGACTCCTTAACTGATCGTCGAGAGCCTGCGTCTTGTCCTGCCACACCTGTTTGTACTCGTCGTGCTCCCCGTGTTCGTCCTCCACCTGTCCCCGGCACGCACACCATGGCACTTCGTCCTTCCTCTGTTGCACAGCGTCCTGTCCTTCCTTCTCCTCCAGTGTCCTCTCTTCTTGACGTTCCTGACCCTGAGTCTGACCTTGCTCGTGCTACTAGTCCGACTGCCATGCGTGTTTTGGCCACACTTGTCACTGACCCTACTTATGAGTTTGCTGCTGCGTCTGCCTTAGTCACTGAGCTCATTGACTTTGCTGCTGCGTGTTGCCTTGACTACTTTGCGGGTCTTGTTTCTGAGTCTAACTACCCTCCGTCCGTCGAGGGTGAGCTTGCCCTTGGCAGTGACGTCCTTGAGGACAGGCAGGTTGAGCTCGAGTGCCTTGCGGTTGCTGTACTCCATCTCGCTGCCATGCTGCTTGCCCTTGAGGGAGACCCAAACACACTGGACATCCGGACCCCGCGCTCTTACGCAGAGGCGATTTCAGGTCAGTACTCCTCTCAGTGGCAGACAACCCTGGACACAGAGATGGCACCTTGGAAGTCCACAGGCACCTACGTTGATGTAGTTCCCCCTCTTGGGGCGAAAATAATCGATGGCATGTGAGATTTCAAGGTCAAGCGGCCGCCAGATTTTCCGCCTGTCTTCAAGGCACATTACGTTGCACGAAACTTCAGACAGCGGCAAGGGGTCGACTTCTTCCATACCTTACTCTTTGGGTGTTATTGCACGTTGCAGCACAGCGTGACTATGAGCTCCACTCGCTTAACTTCTCACAACTTTCTTCCAGGGCAGCCTTCACGAGGAGATCTGGCTGCGCCGCCCATCTGGCTTCACTGGGTCGTTTCCTGCAGGTACCCAGTGGAGCCTCCGGCGGCCAGTCTACGGTCTCCGCTAGGTGCCCTGCGAGTGGCATGACACACTGAGGAGGACACTTGCGGCTCTTGGGTTTGCTCCTTCGACATCTGACCCATCGTTGCTTCTGCGCACTGACCCTTCTCAGCCGCCGTTCTACATCTTCGTGTACGTCTTGGTCTTTGCTACTGCTGACACTGAGGCACTGGCCCTTGTGAAGGCGGAGCTGTAGAAGAGACATACCTACACTGACTTGGCTGAGCTGCGCAGCTATCTTGGCTTGCAAATCACTCGGGACAGAACAGCGCGCACCATCACTCTGACTCAGTCACACATGGTGCAGCAGGTCCTTCAGCTCCACCTTCGTACGAGTCCGTTGAGCCGAGTGGTCCATATCCAAAGCTTGTGATTCCTCGCATGTACGCCCTGCTTGGTATGTCATTTATGGTTGCATCCAACCATGCTGACAAAACTCATATTAGAGTTATCTCTTCGCATTCCCGAGCCGTTTCTCAAGGAGAAATGGGTAACCCCCATTTGATCGCAACCCCAACCCCCTTAAACTGATTTCTCTATTTTCCCCTCATATTGCACGTCCTACCCACCCCCTCGCAGAGGACTCTAATGTCTCGCTTGCCCGTGCAACTGGAATGGTAACAAGCATGACGGACATTTCTTATGCGGACAAGTTTTGAGCGATCGAAACCTTCATACACAGCCCACGCATAACCGTTGCGTTCGAGAACATGGATGACATTCTGAGGCGTATGTACATTGCTGCGAGATCCCTCGAGTCGGATGCCCACATGCCATTTAACAATCCCCAAAACACAGAGGGCGTGCAGGCGAGAGAGGGAACACTGGGAGCAGCGGGTGCGGAAGGGGTAGAGGGAGTCGAGGGAGTAGAGGGAGTTGAGGGAGGAGAGGGAGGGGAAGGAGGAGAGGGAGCAGCGGGAGGAGAGGGAGCAGCAGGAGGAGAGGGAGCAGCAGTTGCAGACAAAGGAGAAGGTATGGGAGGGAGGTGAGGGAGCAGAGAGAGAATTGGGAACAGAGGGAGCAGAGAGAGGAGTGCATTTCGAGTCAGGCATGGGAGTGGAAGGAACAGAGGGGGCAGCAACAATAGGGGTAAGAGAGGGAGCAAACAGGGGAGACACTCCATCCGAGAACAGAAGGAATTGTAGGAACCCGTGGAGAAGCAAGTACAGAGGGAGCAGGGGGAGGTGAGGGAGGAGAGGGAGCAGCGGGATGAGAGGGTGTAGTGGGACGTGAGGGTGCAGCGGGATGAGAGGGTGCAGCGGGGTGAGAGGATGCAGCGGGATGAGAGGATGCAGCGGGATAAGATGATGTGGCGGGTGCGTATGGAGGAGAGGGTATGGGAGGGGACCAGACATAGCAGAGAGAGAAGTGGGAACAGAGGGAGCAGAGGGAGGAGTGCATTTGGAGGCAGGCACAGGAGTGGAAGGAACAGAGGGAGCAGCAACAATAGGGTTAAGAGAGGGAGCAGACAGGGGAGATGCACCATCCGGGAGCAGAGGGAATCGTAGGAACCCATGGAGAAGTGAGTACAGAGGGAGCAGGGGGGGCTGAGGGAGGAGAGAAAGCAGCGGGATTAGAGGGTGCAGCGGGACGTGAGGGTGCAGCGGGATGAGAGGGTGCAGCGGGGTGAGAGGATGTAGTGGGAAGAGAGGATGCATCGGGATGAGAGGATGCAGCGGGTGCGTATGGAGGAGAGGGTATGGGAGGGGACCAGACATAGCAGAGAGAGAAGTGGGAACAGAGGGAGCAGAGGGAGGAGTGCATTTGGAGGCAGGCAGAGGAGTGGAAGGAACAGAGAAGCAACGACAATATGGTTAAGAGAGGGAGCAGACAGGGGAGACGCACCATCTGGGAGCAGAGGGAATCGTAGGAACTTGTGGAGAAGCGAGTACAGAGGGAGCAGGGGGGGCTGAGGGAGGAGAGAAAGCAGCGGGATGAGAGGGTGCAGCGGGACGTGAGGGTGCAGTGGGATGAGAGGGAGCAGCGGGGTGAGAGGATGCAGTGGGAAGAGGGGATGCAGCGGGATGAGAGGATGCAGCGGGTGCGTATGGAGGAGAGGGTATGGGAGGGGACCAGACATAGACGAGAGAGAAGTGGGAGGAGTGCGAGTGGAGGGAGGTGGGGGAGTGGAAGGAACAGCAAGCGAGGAGGGAACATGGGGAGCGGAGTGGCGTGGATGAGTGGCCGGAGGAGAGAGAGTCAAGGGAGAGAGAGTAGAGGGAGCATACAGCGTAGGGGGAGTAGGGGAGGAGAGAGAGTGGAGGATGAGAGGGAGCAGCGGTTGTGGAGCTCTCTCAGTTTAACATATTTTTGCCATGTTGAACACAATCCCTAAGCAACCAGGATCTTCCGCGTGCACATGTAGGCAATCCTAAACATGCAACACTAATCTCTGGTGGTAACCCCCGGGCGTCGCGTGGCCCATAACGCAGCGGCAATGCGGTCCCGTCTTGCCCGTCCCTCCACTGCAAAGGCAGAATCGGGCATCTGTCTCCGTACTTCTGGCACAGTTGTGGTTCCCGGTTGCTCACTGCCTCCGTCTTTGAAAAAATCCCCCCCGAACTGCTTTACAAACTTGTGTAGTATCATGCAACAGATAATTATGTTGCATTGCGTTGAGTTCTTATACGGTCGCATAAACTTAAGGATGGGAAATCTCGCTTTTAGTTGTCCGAACGCGCACTCAACGTGAGAGCGCAGCGAAGAGTGGACTCTATTCAAGGGTATGAAATTCGCGTCCCTAAATTCTTCGAGGTGGTACAAGGTTGTCCTATAGGGTGTAAGACAACACAAGTCATCGCGAAACCCTGAATCTGCTAACAAGTACTTTCCTCGTGGTAGCGCGAATCCACGGGCCAACGCATCCGACCACAAGGTGGAGTCGTGGGTGGAGCCTTCCCACCCTACAAGGCAGTAGATGAAGTTGTTGTGAAAGTCTACGGCTGCAAGAACGTTATGAGAATTGTTACCATGCCTATCGAAGAATGGAGCTTGGCGAGCGGCGCGAATATGGGCAGGAATGAGCGTTCCGTCTAGCGCACCAATCGCTTCTCGAAAATAAATGTACTCCGGTTGTTGCTTGAACACTATGGACTGGTTTCCTCCAAGTAACCGTATGAAATCAGCTTGGAACTGGCAATTCGCGTGGTCGGAAGTGTGCTGTGGGGTGGGCGTTGGCCGTGACTGATAATACATAGCTAAGAGTTCCAGCATTAATCGGGGGATGATCTCTATCCCAAATAGTATGGACATTAGAGACAATCTGTTACTTAGAGGCCCAGGATAATCTTGCTCCTCAATATTCCTAGATAATAGAAGCGGGTCAGTAGAGAGTTGGCTAGCGGAGTCCATGGCGCTATCTTGTTTGTTTTTATGGTTTCAAACAGTGGAGTGAAAAAAAAGCGGAGTGGAGCGTGGGATGCTTGGGAATTGGTTGAGTGAGGGATACTTGGGAATTTTTTCAGGTCAGACATTTCTTGTTATCTCCAGTGTCGTGGAACCGACGACAGAGGTTCACTGAAGGTGTGTATGACCCAGTTTGGTCATTGATATCTCCTTGGTCCTGTTGTCTACTGCAGAGTCAGCATGCGATTTTCTTCGTTTATTCAATTGCGGGCGAATCTAGTCAGAGGCACAAGTTGCCTTTTGTCTTTCTTGGGCACATGTTCGGACCATGCCTAACTCTGGCCCTAATTTCATTGCATTGCGCTTTGGTTCAAGGTTGTTGCTTTAGTGCAGCCGAACATTGCCTTGGTGAACGCTGGAACACGGCGACCCCACATCGTCGGATCACGACAAGGAGTTCGCTCGGCTTTAACCACGTTCGCCGACCCCATGGAAGTCAACAAATTCGATGCGAAGTCACGATAAAAAAAAAAAAAAAAAAAAAAAAAAAAAAATGTGATTTTTGTGGCATAAACGGGCATCCAATCGACGACTGTTTTCACATGAAATCTGCACGTGCAGCATTCCGAGCAGGGCTGGAGAAGCAAGGCCATTTGGCCTTAATGCCCTGAACATTCCGAGTTACGCTTGGAGCAGCTCGACCGTTTAAAGTGCTAGAATGGCATGGCACCCGTGACAGTTAAGGGCCTTGTTTGGGCCTTCCCCTGAATCCAAGTTTTGGTTTCTGTGTTGAGCACACCCCCCCACCCCCCACCCCATCCCGTCGTTGGCCCCCCCACCCCCTCCATGACTTAGCCTACGAACCCCTTCCCTCCCAATTTTTTTGCCTACGATGTAGAGGCTGTAAGATTGTTGAGCACTGAGTATGCACCTTCCTCTGCTAAGTAGAAGGCACGTCCTCCTTTGGACATTAGGGAAAGTGACTTTCCTTAGAAGCCCAGATTTTAAGCCTTGTTTTCGGCCTGCGCCCGTGAAAATCAGGGCCAGAATTTGAGCACCTCAGGACTGAAAGTTTTGGTCCCAGGGACTTCGACAGCCCTGATTCCGAGCTCGAGGGAGTGGCGAAACTAAAGACAAAAGGTCAAAAAATGCATCTCGCCAGTAATTTCGGATCGTGCTGGCGATAATAAAAAGATCCAAAAGCGTCAGCGCGATCTGGACCAGAATGCGATCGACGAATCGGATTTGGAGCATCAAGGGCGAAATCCCAAGCCCCTTGACCGAGCTTTTTCGGGGGAATTCACCGAGGAAAAAAAAATCTCCACGAAAGCAGACTCGACCAAGGCGGGAACACTCCAATTCGACCCTAAAAATAATCAAAATTCGTTAACGTTATCTTTTAAAGATGCTTTAATGAAGAATGATTATTTTCGTGGGTCTGGGGCCGTAAAAGAATTCTGGGAAGATCTCTAGAGGAAACAGATCATAAAAGAAGTGGTACCGGTGCCCAAGGAGCTAGGGAACAAAATAAGGAGTGTGGAAAGGTACAGGCCTTTCCACGTAGTCGACGTCCTCTCCCGGAACCAGCCCGCGACGACTCTTCGCTCCACAGGGAAGAAGTCGATGGAGCTAAAGCAGCTGAGGAGGCAACTGGGAGTTGAAATGAAGCTGCAAAAACTCCGAAAACCCCTCCAGGGTGCATCATGTGGATCGCGGGCGTCGTCCGGATCCACCCCCTCATGGTCAACCACCATGGTGACCACCTTTACTCTTGGCATTGGAGAGGAGCCTTTCTCCACACAGCTCAGGCCAGCTGTTAGTCTAGGAGCAAGCTGTGAAACCACATTGTGTACTAAATGTGGGGATGTACCCTACGATTGAAACTATCTTTGGGTACTCTGAGCAACGCCCACCACTCCTGCTCGAGTTGATCTGCAATGGACAATGCCTCCAAACACTCATGGACAGTGGGGCATTGCACAGCGTCTACGGCAAGGAAACGATCGACCAACTCGGAGGAGAGCTCAAGTCCTCAAGCTTCTCAGAAACAATGGTGGATGGCAGTAAACTACCTGTCTACAAGGAAACACGGTTACTACTCCAGAATGGACCCCTACGATGGAAACCTGCTCTCCCCGTCATAAATATTAAAGGACTCGACGTTGATCTTCGGGAGAGACTTTCTTAAAAGATTCAACCCCGAGATCAACTGGGTTAACCGGACGGCCAACATTAACAACAACGAGCATAAGATCAGCCTTCCCAAATGGGATGACATGGGAAATATTTCAGTGGAGAAACTCGCAACCTTTGAAAAGGACGCCAAACGGACCACGGCGGGATTTATGACGATAGTCAGTGAAGCAAGCGACGGAGAGAAGCAGACCTCGCAACTTCCGCCAGCAATTAAGAAAAAAACTTGAAGAGTTTCAGGACGTTCTCCCCGACGATCTACGAGATCAACTACCGCCATACAGGACAAACCAACACGAGATCATAGAAAAGTCAGGGTCCAAGCCGACGTTCCGAGCACCATACCGGCTGAGCCCAATAGAGCTTGCTGATATGAAAAAACAAATAGATTATCTCTTGGAGAAAAGGAAGATTCGACCCTCGACTTCGCCGTACGGAGCTCCAATTCTCTTCACTCCAAAGCCAGACGGAAGTCTGCCAATGTGTATCGACTACAGAGCCTTGAACAAGCAGACTATAAACAATATATACCCAATACCACAGATCGACGACTTGCTTGATCGACTCCGCGGTGCTACGGTATTCTCCAAGCTCGACCTGATATCGGGATATTGGCAAATACGAATCGCGGACAACTCTATTCACAAGACTGCCTTCCGAACTCGGTACAGGTCATACGAGTATCTCGTGATGCCGTTCGGACTTACCAACGCACCAGCCACATTTCAGGCGGAAATGAACCACATCCTTTGGCCCCTTCTGGACGAGTGCGTGGTGGTATACTTGGACGATATCTTGATCTACTCGAAAGACATGAAGCAGCACGTTGAGCATCTGCAACGCGTCCTTGAAATTCTTCAACGAGAACGCTTCTACGTGAAACTATCAAAGAGCGGGTTTGCACTGAAGAAGGTCCAGTTCCTTGGCCATATGGTGAGCGCTCAAGGAGGCTGCGTGTATCCAAAGAAGATTGAAGCAGTGCGAACGTGGAAGACCCCTGAGGACGTGAAGGAGTTACAGCATTTTCTTGGATTCGCCAATTATTATAACTGGTTCGTACCGAACTGCGCCAAGATTGCCACACCATTAACAAACCTTTTGAAGCAGAATACACCATATCACTAGGAGGTGAAGCACCAAGAAGCCGTGGAACAGCTGAAAACCGCACTCACATTCGCACTTGTCCTTATCTTGCCAGACCCCGAATTTGACTATGTCATCGAGGCCGATGCTAGCGATCAAGCAGTGGGCGCAATACTCGTGCAAGATCAAGGAAAGGGGCTGCAACCCATTGCATACCTAAGTAAAAAACTTCACGGAGCAGAACTCAATTACCCTATCCATGACAAAGAGGCCCTCGCCATCGTCAATGCATTCAAGGCATGGAGGTGTTATCTCGAAGGAAGAAAGACGACCGTCTACACCGACCACCGTCTACACTTCCTTCTCGAAGGAAGAAAGATGGCATCTCCCCAGTCGATAGCCTTGCCATACTCTTGCTCCCATTTTTTCTGCTGCTTTGGTTGCTCGACTGGGTCCTTC